AAGAAACCCAGAAATAAAGCAGAGAAAAGCGAGGACCAGCAGTGGGGGGATACGGGGCAAAGTCTGGGCGTCTCGTGGAGTTTTCCTTTTACCTGAAGAAAATGTTGACAACTTCTTTATTTATTTCATCATCACAGAGGCGACTTTTGAAATTAGTTGGCGCTGTAAAAAATATGCAAAACTTTTAGCTGAATGAAATATGAAATGGAAATGGCGAAATGGGAAATGGAATGGAATGATGGTGAGGTTACGACCAAAGGTGGAAATTCAAGTTATGGCTGGAAAAAAGGAAAATGCAAGTACGGTTTCAAGAGAGTCTAAGAGCTCAATAAATCCTGTGGAATTTTCTTCTTTCTTCAAGTTTTTATGGCTGATTCCACTAATTGCCTGCTCAAAGGAGTTTTTCAACTGACATACTTTCGATTTCAAAGTAAACTTCAAGGGGATAAATCAAGTTTATATTGGGAATGGGTTCTCCACATCTGTGTCTCTCTCCTCTTTCTCTTGCCTCAACATGGTTTCCCCCATGTTTCCCTTTTGAAGTATTTTTCCACAGATAAAGTGCTGCTCCAATTTGGTTAGTATTTCATTAACATTTTGTTTAATTTGTAGAGTTTGATTGTTTTTCTATTTAACGCTTACTCTCGTTCACTCTCTCACCCTCTCTTCGTCTTCCCTGTCTTTTTCTCTCTCTCCCATTCACTTTTCAGCTTTTTCCTTCCTATTTTTCGGATGCACGTGACTCGGGATTTGGAAGAAAAATTCGAAGACAGAAAAAATGAAAGTAAATTACAAGATTTCTATACAAACATTCCTCTGACGCTTTATTTTTCCACATCTCTGTCTCTGTTCCACACTCTCCCCCCCTTTTTCACTTCTTATCCCTTCATGCCCCTCTGTCTCCTCTTTTAATATAATTTTCAGGAAAAGTTATGTCTCATTTCTGTCATCAAAATATTTCATGACAAGGATTATTACATGGAGACGATGGATATCCATGCGTGATGGGAACTCAGTGGGAGATAGGAAGAGGAGTCTAGATAGTGGGAGGGGGAGTGGAGAGAACCAAGTAGCAGGTCCCGGTCCCTGACATTAATCATTGCCTCAACTTTATAATTTTTGGCAAGGATTACCAGGCTCAGCATTCATTCTGCGACGACTGGCATTCGGTACGCTTCTTTCTACTTCCCTCTAGCCTCCTCGTTTTCCCCTGCCTCCATTTCTCGCTCTCTTTTGTATGCAACTACAATTTTTCATACAAAATGATGTCATTAAACAAAGAACTGAAACGAGAACTGTCGTCGACAACGAACGACGACGACGACAATAATGAGCCAGAGACAGAGCCGCCGGAGTCGTTGTCCGTGTCGGTGGATTTGGAGGGCAGTAGAGGGGAGTGGCAGTTTCTCCCACGGGTAGAAATGAGGGGAAATTACTACGGGGGGAGGCTCTGGTCTGGCTGCAGGAAGAGGCAGGCCCGGAAAATCGTGCGACTAAATCCCAAAACAATTTATATGAACCTCAAAGCGAAATGACACGCCAGCTACTACGACAACAACAACAACAAAAGAGAGGAGTGAGAAGGAGAGGGGAAAGGAGATAGAGAAAGGAGAGTGAGAGTGTAACATGAACAGGATAACAGGGTAACAGGATAACTGCAATATATATTAACAGGTTGATTCCTGTTGCCTGATTCCATTTCCTCAAGTCAGAAAAAATGCTGTAGATGCTTTCAACCCTTTTCGACGATTGGTGGCTTGAAGAAAGATGAGAAGAAGGCATTCAAGAAGGGATTTGGAGGGAAGAAGGAAAGAGGGATCGAAGGCAGAAAGGTTTTAAATTGACTGAGAAGACAGACGGCTTCACCTGATGCATTCCCTTATTTCCCTTTTTCCTGACTCTAAAATTTTGTTAGCAACAACTTTGTATTGCTATTCTTTATTCCATTCTTTAGAGACTTATTACGAGTACTACGAGTAGAGAAGATATCCCTTGAATTATGTCAAGGTCTTTGGCTACACTTTCTTACAAGAATAGTACCTTGTAAACCGCCCGTGAATATAGTAAGAGCCAGAGGAGCAGGTTGAGGAACCCCCTCCCCATTCTTGGGAGCTCCATGGCTCCACCATTAATTCTGTAGCGTTTCTGAGGCGCAGTCCAAAAAGTTTGCGCGTCCCCAAAACGAGAATACGCGTCAGGCATTGAATGGCTATAAAAGCGTTCGTTGAATGATGTTTGTGATGATGAGGGAATGGGAAGGGACAGAGGGGGCTGCAATGGCAACAAGGTGGAGAGGAAGAAATAAAGAGAGGGAGAGATAGAGTGTCATTACGTATGCAAGTCGGCTACGCACAAAAGCCGAAACCCAAATACAGACACAGACAAAAACACACGCATACAGCTCACACACACCTCTAGAGGCAGAGCCCCCTCTCTCTCGCTCCCCACCCAATTTTATTCCCTCTCTTTCACTCCTCAAACATTTAGTTAGATTTTGGATTCAGCGGATGAGACGACGGACAGACGGACATGCTGACTGAATGACGACGAATTTTGAATACGAATTTCATTATATCCCGCACTCAATTATTCAGTAATCAAGTTAGCAGAGGGAGGGACGCCAAAGAAGAGAGGAGGAGAAGAGCGGGTGGAAGAGAGGAAGACAGAGCGGATTGTAGTGAGTGGTAGGGGTACGGGGTTCTCCATTCTTCCGCTTGTTTTCGGGGCTTGTATTTTGCTATCTATGAAAACGTTAACTAAATTTGTTCCAATTTTCAAGCCGCTCTTCCCTCAGTGGGCATAACCTTACCCATCCCCTCCCCCTTCCCCCAGGGAACTGGTGATTAACAGTTGCCAAAATCTGTTTTGGGGGCGTGGCAGTGACAATAAGAGGGGGGAGTGGCGGCGGCATACACAAATTGCCAATTCGTTTCGTGAATTTTCGATGAGGTTTTTCGCGTGTTTTTGTTTGTGGATAGATCATGCCTGAGGGATTGGCTTTACTTCGCCCTACCCCTCTGCAAACCCACTCTTTCTTCCCCTTCTACCCCACCCAGTGTATCTCCTAATCCTAGTTTCGGCAGTAGCTAGTCGTTCAGTAGTTTTGCCAGCGCGACTAATTATAATTATGCATTGTGTGACTGCATTAATTATGCAGAAGCTTCAAACTTTGCTCTGAGGGAAATTCTGCCCCGCTAGTGCAGTGGGGTGGTGGAGAGGCGCATGTTAGGTCAGGAGAGGAGGCTGAAATGTCATCCATTTGCTGTGATGTGATGTGTATTGTGCGTGGAGATGATATGGTTTGGTTCTGGCGACTAATTGTTCCGTTCCGCGACGATGGTGATGTTCATGGGGAATGGAGATATGTGGGACAGGAGATCCACAAACCACAATGGGGAAAATGATTTTACTTTAGATAGAAGCATGAATATATACAAAAGAGGAAGAGACTTCTTCAGATTGCTGACTTCAGTGTTGTTTTCCGAAATATTTTGTAAAAACTTTCCCTATTTCCACTGATTATTTCAATTAAGAAAGTATAATTTCCATCTGCATTTCCCATTTACATCATTCTCATATGTATATGGTAGAGGTAGACCTTTTTGTATCCTTGAATACTGGCATCCTTGAATCTTGATTGCTTTTCTACTCGTTGAAACGTGTTAAAACCAACCACTTCTGGTCTCCACATATAAAGATATGAATCCCGGAGTCCTGTTGCCAGAAGAGTGAACCACAAAATGATTATCATCCTAACAGGATGGCAGGATCCCAGTGTCCCAAGATGATGACGAAACACAGAGCTCTCAACCACAGAGACAAGTGATATGACGTGTCGCTGCCATCCACAGATTCCTTAACTGAGAAAATGCTTAAGTTTTCCTTCAGTTTCCCCTGCGGAATGCACATACACACACACACACACATCATCGAAGGCAGGACACCACACAGAGGGTTACCTTTTTGGCTTAGATTGGAGCCATGTGGCCCTATGTACTCCCCCCACATGTTATAAGCATTAAAGACACCGCATAAATTAAATTAATTGCCAAAGTTTATAATTTTTATTGCCACACAAACGAGGATGCGCCCAAGGAAAACTCTTTTGCTTTTCACAGACAGATAGAAAAAGCTGGAGGGCTGTGGCAAAGAGAGAGGGGGAAAGAGTAATCACTTTACATTATGTACCCGGTCTGTACCCTGGGCACAATCTTTGTCAAAAGTTTTCAACACTTTCAGCACAGAAGTTGTGGAGAAAGCCGTGCGGTTTCTCATTTAAAATTTAAATGCCTTCAAAGTAAACAAATTTTATCCCTACAAACACAATGGTTCCCCCAAGATTGAGGTTATTCTCTCACTCCTCCCTTATTAGGTGGCAACTCTGGCTGTGGTAACGGTAGAAATTTAAATGTCAAGTGCCTCGAAGCAGCTGTCAGTGCTGCTCCCGTCCCAAGTGTTCCCATTCACCCCGGGGAAAGAGGGAAAGGAACAGCACTAATTGTTCCCCAGTTGGAAAAAAAGAGAGACAGAGAGAGGGAGAAGAAGGGAAGAGAGAGTTAGAGTGAGAGGAGGAATATCTAACTGCCAGTGTTGTATTTTTTAACGCCTCTTTTGGGTGCAATTAAAAATTATGTTTATATTTACTTTCCTCTCTTCTGGGATTTCCCCCTTCTTCACCTGTCACTCTCCCTTAAACCAAAAACTCATGTAAATATGAAACAAACGGTAAAAAAATGGAGGAAATGAAAATACAAAATGGCCGTCAATATTGACAGCTAACAGGAGTATCCAAAGGGGGGACCATGTTTGCTTTGGGGAGAATTTTGGAGAGAATGGAATGAAAGAAAAAAACTTTGCAATTTCCGTTGACATATATACGAGCTCGAGTAAATGTTCATATCAGGTATACATATATTTATCCGTAAATAGAACAATTTTATTCAGGATTATCTTCAGAGTAAAGGATATTCTTCATGGATTCTCTTTTGCTTTTGCCTTACCTCAAAATCTGTTGTCTGAGTAGTTGATCCTTATAGAAGGCAATAACAGTCCATGAAAACTGCAAAAAATATAGAAAAGGAAGTAAAATGTTAGTAATTCCATTCTCTTGTATATTTTTGAATGAGAAAAGGCAGTGTTTCGGATAGCATGAGAGTCTGAAAATACAGTGAAAGGGAAATGGAAAACGACGACGACACCAATATGCATTTATAGAAACAGGCAGATGCGAAAACATTATCCAAACAACAAAAGGAAACAGCAAACGAGAGCAGAGGTATAAAGTAATCAAAAAAGAAATCAAAGCAGAAAAAATGATCCGAAAATCGAGGAAATTGAGAAGTAGAGCGGTAGCAGAAGGAGTAAAGTTTCGGGGGATTCTACGTGAATAAAACCTGTATGGGCGAATTCTATATTCTCATACATACATATGTATATTCGCACACTCGTATATGGAGGAGGCCTGTGTTATGTACCTTGTTATCGTCCCCTTTTGCTTCTTTTCGCTGTACCGCTGTTTTATTCCTTTTTTGGGAGGAGGATTTTTAATATAGATAGTGCGTACATACAGGGTATTGAGTGGTAGAGGGGGTATGCTCGAATCCAGGCAGAGAGACGAATCGATGAATAGCCGATGCGTACCAATGGGAAGCGAAGAGGAATGACCATCGAAGCAGTCCAGTCCATAGTCCATCTTAGGCAGGAAATCGCCTCCTTTTTGGGTGCAGAAGGAGTAGGCAGCAGCAGGAGAACGAGGCATGGGGCATGGGGCATGCGGCAGACAGCGAAAAATGCTGTTAAACAAGTTTCTGTTTCTGTTTCGGTTCTGGTTCTCGTTCTCGTTTTTTTTCCTCTTTCCATCGAGTGCGTGTGTCGTGTCGTGGCTTATGCCCAGAGGCCTGGGAATCGTTTTCGCTGTATGAAACCCACTCTTCTCACTTGCTTCCTTTTTTGTTTTTATGTTTGATGTGTGTGGAGGCACTTAATAAGCAAAGTGTTTCGGCAGCAGAAATCGCTTGTTTTTGCCACAGAACTTGTTCCTCCACCGGCCTTATTGATACTCCTTCCAATTCCACAAAATACACATGTTCTTAGGGCACTCCAGGCACAAGATACAAATCTATCTACAGAAGTTGTCATCAAACATAAGAAAGTGACAAAAAGTTGTGCCTCCTGCCATCGCCAGAATTCAATTTGCAACAAAATATACATACATACATACATATGTATGTATGTACGCTTGTATATATTTACATACATATAAACGTTGCCCCAAAGCTTTGGGTAAGAGAAATCAGAGGAGGCAGCAGAGGGAGGAGCCAGCAAAGAGGGGAGGCAAAGGAGCTGGCAGGAGCAGTGTATGAGTTTTCTTGGTAAAGTTTTTTATGGCCAACATCCCACGCTTTGTGACCCGCTTCTCCTCCGCTCCCCCCTACGTATGTTGTAAATTACGTTACGTAAACGCAACGCTACGTGGCAACACAATAAACTTTTCCCCTCTTGTTCGCCTTATGAATATAGAAATAAGTAAACGGCAGTAAATTAGGCGAAAAATTCAATAATTTCCACCATCTACGAGTGGGGAAGGGGGCGCTGTGTGTGTGTTGTGTCCTTGAGTGAGGCAGAACGACCCCTTAATAGGGTATAAATATCCCGAAAAAGTTGGAGACGAAGGAACAAGAGAAATGGTAGCTTTACATAATGTTTAGGGAAGGAATATGTAAGGTAAATGGGGTAGTGATGGTAAAAAAATGACAAGAATTTAATGGATACTTAAAATAAATACACATTCATTTTATTATTTTCCGGTACTTGCCTATCTTTAAGACTTTTTCTAAAATATTTAAAAAATACCAAAAAATATCAGCATACGGGATTTGGTCAGGCTCCCTTTTTTCTCTTTTAAACTTTTTAAACCATTCAAAAATCGAATCAACAATCAATTCTGTCTCAATCTTTATCCTTTAATTTTCAATGTGTCATTGATTTATAGAGAATATCCCTCCCGCTTAATCAAAATATCAAAAAGTTTCTGCAGATAAAAGGATGGAAATCTGTAGCTCAAGCTTTTGGCCAACTTTTGGCATCATCATTGGGCTATCATGAATTTGTGGCTAAGAGGCAAACACCCGTAACTAAATTACGCAATTAATAAGAGAACGAAAGAGCTACAACAACAAGGCAGAACGAAAGAACAGACAGTGGAAGAGAAGAGAGAGAGAACATCCCATAAAACCAACATTTAAGGCGGCAAAAATATGCAATTAAGAAGCAAAATGAAGCCAAAAAAGGGGAGCAGGAAAGGAGAGAGAGAGCTGTGTGGGAAGCAAGTTGCGTGGGAAACTACTAACCAATATGCCACCTCTCACTCTCAGAGGAAAGATCTTCTTCTCTCTCTCCCTCTAGCGAAATTCGAAGTCCAAAATGCGACTCAGAAATTAATCAGGCGAACATAATGCAAGGGGAGGGCGCAGCGCGGTGGATGGAGCTCCAGCGAGGAGAAGTAAAAGATAAGGAACGCAGGAGAGAGAGCAACAGGAGTGTGCGAGCAGGATAGCTGGAGAGTTGGGGGAAGAGGAGCATGAGGCAGCGAAAGGCGATAACGAAACGAAAAACGAAGCGAAATCCTCAATTCATTGCACTCTCCCAAACACATACAGAGAAAACAAAACAAAAAAACATTGAAGCAGTGGGGTAGTAGGCGCATGCTACAGAGTCGACCCAATGATACCCATTGACCAGAGATCGTGGCGAGCAAGCAAGACACGCAAAAGATTGCATTGGCATCTGCAAACGAGCGGGCTGGCTCTCCTCCTATGCAGTACAATATACCCCCTGGACCCTCTACAGCTTTTCTAGAGTATGCAAAAAACCCACACACTCAGCACTTCACTCACACATACAAATAAGTAGATAATGAAATACGGAGGCCGCGGCTGCTACGGCTCCTCCCAGAAGACACCGAAGCAAACCACAGCATCACTCCTCTCCCTCTCTCCCTTTCTTTCTACTCTTCCCTATACCCCATCACCCTACGGGGTGGCAGGGGGCAGACAGGGGTCCAAAAATAATGGAGCCAATGGCCATGGCCCGAACAGCAGCAGCAGCAGCGTGGCAGCAATAACACACAAAAAACAAGAGTAATAACAGCCCAAAAAATGGTTAAAAACAAAGCAAAAGAATGAAGAGACCAGCAACAACAACAGAATTGGCAAGAAGCTAAAGACGAATGGGGAATGCCCTGCCGGGAAATAGGAAAGCAGAAAAATAAAAGCAAATTCATTACTTTTCAATCTGAGGAGAAAAATCAAAAACAATTGAATGCCAGATGAAACCAAAAATAAAAAAAATTCATTATTTCTTTCACAGAGTAACCAAAAACCCAAGAGAACTCATCGAATGGATCAGTTCTGAAAGGATTCGATGATCTTTGAACTATAATTCGATGATAATTGAACGAGAAATGAAACATCTATCAAATTTAATTTTTTTTTTTGGTTTTTCTGGGTGTCTTACCTCTAAAATGTGTTTACCATTCATTTCCCTAAAATTTCTGAACAAAAATAGCTAAAAAGTGTACCAAGATTGCGTTCTATATTCCATATTTCCCTAGAAAGCTCCCCTCCCCCTGAAAGCAAGGGTATTACCATGAAAATAAAACCAAAGACAACAGCAAACAAAATAAACAAAGAAAAAATACCTCATAACCGGAGGTCCTGAAGCTTTTGGGACAGAACAGCAAAGGCAGCATCTGGCAGACAATGTGCTTCGCCCCCGCCTAAGCACAAAACACTCACATATGTATGTGTGAGGCAGGAGGGGTCCTTGAGAGAGGGAGCCCCAAGATATTTGGAGGGGCGCATAGACAATTGGAGCGACTGTCTTATCAAAAATGTGATGATGGTGGGGCATGCTAAGGAGTCCCCGAAATGGGAGTAGAGTAGCGACACTCCCCTTCCCCTTTCTACTGCTTCTCCTTCTGCTCCTCCTTTACTTTACTTTCATTTGGTTTTTCCCCCCAAAGAGCCGTAGAAAATTGCAAGCAATTTCCCCCGAAAGTTATGTTTTGGAGAAACACAAGTGGAGGAAAAATGTTAAAGCAACAAAATATAAGGAATCTATCTTTCTCTCTCACTGTGTTCTTTTTTCTCCTCCAAAACTCCTCCAAAATACTCATTAGACTTTAAATGAAAAGGCACCCCTAGTACTGATGCCCCACCCTTTTCATATAGACCCTCCTTGCAATGGAATGTCTACGCCATTTTTCTCATTTTCATTTCGCGCTCGTTGCGCAAATAAATCAGAAAATTGTTCAATTTTTTAATGATCTCTGCCCCCAAACACAGCGCTGGGTTTTTCCCAATTTTCGCATTCGACTTTTGGGCGAAGGGTGCATGGGGGCAAATGTTAAGGGGCAAATAAATCGCTCAAGTTTCATTCCGACTTTCATTCCAATTTCCAATTGAATGTCGAAATGAATGCCGCAAAAGCACTTACACGTCTGCAAATATGGCTGCCCCTAAAATGGGAGTAGAAGTGGCTGGAGGGGCAAGGGTGCCAGAGGTGTATATACTCTCAACCACCCCTCCCTTTTCACCGACATTGACTGATAAGTGTTGCACTTTTCCTTGCCTTTTCCCCAAAAGTCGTATGTAAGTCGAATGCCAAAAAAAAAAAGCTAACCTTTAAATCGATTTTCGAATGACTTTAGAAATGGGTGAGTGAGGGGGAAATGCCTTAAAAATTCATTTGGAGCAAACGCATTTACTTCGAGCAGCAGCAAAAAGACGACAGACGAAAAACCTCAAAGGAGAAATCGAAAATGAAATCCAAAGCTCGAGAAATGTTTTTTCGATTCTCAGGAAAATCTAATTGATGAAAAGCCAAAGGAAATTCTTCTAAGGAAGTCCATGGAAATCGATTCCCATTCCGATTCCTGACTCCTTGTGCGTGTGCCTCTAATTTGTGGCAACTTTTCACACATCCATTTTCGAAATTGGCCTTACAATTGGCAATTGGCCTGCAAATTGGTTTCACATTGCAATCCCCCATTTCCATTCA